AGGTTTTAAGTTTATTTCCATTCCTTTGTTATTACAAAGAATCCAGCAGTGAATAACATTGTGTTTAATTTCTTTTTGTTTTTGTAAGTGTTTCCTTAGGATAGTGAGGTTGCTGGTCAAAAGGTAAATGCAAATGTGATTGTGCTGTATTTTGTCAACTCCTTCACATAAAAGTTCTATCATTTTGGACATATTCCAGCCCTAAACAAAACAACAAAAAAATGGTCTCATCAACAACAACAAAAATCATCTAATTTTATATTTTGCCTACCTGACAGGTCTGACCATAGCTGCAACATAGTAATATGTAGCTTAACATGACTATATACATTCAGCAAGATGGCATATTTTCAAATGTTTATGGGCCATTTCTTTTCTGTGAACTGATTATTTCAGTTGACAAGTCATAGGGAAATTCTTCTCCATTCTTAATAATGAAATTCATCCATGTTTTCTTATACTATTTTTATGCTTTGCTTTTTTATATTTAAGTTTCTGACACATTTGATTGTTCTGAGATATAAGGACTTCACCCAACTTATGACAACTAGAAGGGTCACCTCAGCTTCAGAACTTCCCATTGGGGTCTTCTGAGACCCTGGATGAGACAAGGGAGTCCAACTTCTTATATGGAAGGGGTGGGATTTTATCTTCTTCCATAATTGTATCTACATTATTCAATATATGGCTTATTCAACAATCCATATATCCCTCACTGATGTGAAATATCACCTTCATTGCACACTAAATATCAAATATTCTCTGAACAACAACCACAAATTTTACATTTTGCTGTGTTGGAAAACATTTACTGCCTTGCCAGGGCCCCTCAAGAGGTTGAAGTCCACAAAATTATGACTCATTTGCTGTGAAGAACCTTGTGGGGAAAAACAAAGGCAATATCTAAAGATGAAGATGAGCCCCTGTCAAGTGTAGGAGTAGCAGAAAAAAGGAACATGAGAATTCGAATGTCCTGACTGTGCCGCCCGGCTAGTTACCAGTTGAAATCATCACTGCCTTGAAGCAAACTCAGAGTTTAGTGAAAGAGAAATTTATTAAAGAGGGTATTCAGAGCACCCAGGTGTGCAAGACCAGAATCAGAGTTTTTGAGTAAATGATCCCTCTCAGAGACTTTGGCCTTAGTTTACGTAGGCAAGTTACATGTACATAAAGTCTGTTTTTTTTGTATACCAGTCCTAGGGTTTTTCTTTCTCAGGAAATTTTCTAGTTAATTTCTAACATAGTAGTTAATTAAAGGAGACTTCTACAGATTTATTAGCCTGTAAACAAGTTAAGCACTGTTTATAACTTAAACCAATCTCCTTGATCTAACAGATCTAGTTCAGTCAGAGCATCTGCATTTCGGAAAATGAACAGACCAATGGTTACTTACACCTCCTATCTGAAAGTACCTTTACAAACATGAAGGCACCAGCAAACCATTACCTTCTGCCACGTGTAAGCATGACAGGGCACAGTCTGTTGCCTTCTCCAACATTCCCACATTCCCACTGTGTTGTTTCCTGCACTACTGACTCCAACCTCTTGAAGTGGCCTTGACATGGTAGAGGTGGACATTTTTCAAAAAAAATTTTTCCTTGATAGAAAAGTAGTACTTTTATTATTATTATTTCAGGTGACAGTTTTTAGGTCCATATCTGGGTTTCCTATCCTGCTCTACTCATCTGTATGTATACACCAAAGCCCACAGAAATAGTGTAGTCATAAATAGTCTAAAACTAGAAGCAGCAAAAGGCAGGGTTAGCCCTAGAAGTTATTACCAAAACATGTAAAACTCTGTAATTAAAATGGGTTTTAATTACATTCTTGTTGTTTAAGTCAGTATTTGGTTACATCAGTCCACCCTATGGCAGAACCCATCTTAGTGGCTGCCTTTCTTTTGACCCTCAAGTCCAGATCCAGGTTCCCTGGGTAAGATATTTTCTTGGCCCTCCCTGGTGCATAGCAGGTTAAAGCACAGCACTAAGAAGCTTTAGTCACTTCCGCATGAGTTTGATCCCCGCCTGCCCTGGAGGAGATCCACATGGCGTGGCAGACCTCTCCTGGCCTGCCCGCTGCTCCCTTCAGCAGTGTACTCCCTCGATCTGCCTGTTCTGCTCCCCACTCTCTCTATGGTGAATCCTCTCACCCTCTGCATCTCTGGCCTGTACCCCAGTTCTGTATGAATAAATAAATAAATGATAAAAAAAAGATATTTTCTTGGCATGCTATAGGTCTCTTTCAGATAATTACCCAATTGTTATTAAACAATCATAAATTATTGCACTATATCTCTCCCAAAACAAAAACTCCACAAAACAAGGAGTCCTGTGGGTTTTGCTAAATCTCGGGTTCAAGCACAGCATTTTATATACAGCACTCCAGATGTGAAATGTTAGAAATTTGAAATTTCTAACCAAAAGATTATAAGATAAATTCAGCAGCCCTTCATGAATCTTTTGGCTGATGCCTCTACCTCACACTCAATCCAGGAGAAGTCTATTTTAGGGGTTGGCTATGTACAACTAGAAATGCAGGCTCTCCAGAGTCTGACTGGGGGTGGCAAAAATGTTCTAGTTGTTACTAATGCCAATTGTACTGTTTTCTTTCTAAATGGAGTCCCCAAGGGCTTGCCATAAATAGAAAGGGTTGGTTTACTTTGAATTGTTCCACTAGAGAAAAGAAATAAAGTTTGCAGAGGCACAAACCGTACCGCAGTGGGTTGTGGGAATCACACCTTCCCGAAAATAAAACAAACTGCTCTTATCCTAACCAAGGGTTTAAATAGTCATCCATTGGTTAGCAGCCTTCCTTAACATTTTGTACCTTTTTCATATCTTTTCTCATGTTACAAAAGAGGTTAAGTGTCACTTTTTAAGCTGTGGTGGATCCACCATCAGCAGGAACAGATGAACATATTAACTATCTTTTGAGTTTATTTTCACAGAAGCAACAGGGTGTAACACTCATCTATAAGTCATATAGCCCACATACCCAGAAGTGACTGACCTAAAACTAGACACCAAATTGGCCAGAACCAAGGGGCGACTAACATGGAACCAAGAAGACAGGAAAAATGACCACCTAAACAGTGTTCAGAAGCCAGGGGACCATCCTCCAGATAGACCTGGTCATTTGAAAGAACACCTTAGCCCAACTGAACTGATCTGTAACTACTCAATACATTTCAACCAAGCCCACCTTCCCTTTACCTTTAACCAACTCCATTGACCAATGGGCCAAGAACATACACTGGAAGAAGAATAACCTCTTGCGTAAATGGTATTGGGGAAACTGGCTCAAGAACATGTGGTGTATACTACAATGAATATTACTCAGTGATCAAAATAGATGAACTCATACCATTTTTAGAAACATGGATGGAGCTGGAAGACATTAATGCTAAATGGATTAAAAATTAACCTTTGAGAGCTACCCTGGTGGTTCAGAAGATAAAGTCTCAGCAGTATCAAGCTATTGCCACTGCAGCATGAGTTCGATCCCCAGCCAGGGAGATGACCCACATGGCACAGCAGACCTTGACTGTCTCACCTGCTGCTTCCCTTAGCAGTGTATTTCAATAGATATTCCTCTTCTGCTCCCCACTGTTTCCGGTAAATCCTTTCACCCCCACAACTTTGGCCTATACCCCAGTTCTAGTATGAGTAAATAAAAAAAAATTAAAATATACACAATTAATCCTTGAAAGTTGACTACGGAACTGAAGGGGATGGGTGGGGGGAATAGAGAGAGTGGCAGAGCTATAAGAGTGAAGGGGGAAAGAAGCTTAATGGGCTATGGTGGGGGACTACGGGTGATACAGTGAGATGTATTACAGTGGTTATAACTGACAGGTGGAAATACTAAAGTTACCTCAATTTAAAAATAAATAAATAAATACATTTACTAAAATAAAGTGCTAGGGAATCTTCACAATCCTCATTAGATATACTGTGATTTCTCATTAGACAATATTTGGTCATTTTCACAGAGATGCTTTAGATCACTTACTCATAATGGAAACGATGTTGTAAAGTAAGCCACCTTAAGTATATAAATTACCACCACAGCCTCAGAATGTTGTGTGTCTCATCCTCTACATTGTTTCCAAAGTCTAGAGCAGAACTTAGCATGCAATAAGCACTGAATTAATAAATGATACCATCTAAATAAGTAGGCAGGTGGAGGAAGAAAACTGACATTTGTTGAGTGCCCAACTGCCAAACATAATGATCTTCATTACAATTTACTTTATAAATTAATTATAATTTCTCAGAACAATTTTACCAAAAATGTATATTACTTCCCTTTCCTATGAAGGAAACTAGTGCTTGAGATTTAATAAATTTGCCCAATATCACAAAGCTAGTCAGTTGCAGGACTAAGAAGGATGTGAAACTGTGTTTGGCTGTAAACACCATGCATTTACAACTACAATTAACAAAATGTATTCTTTCCTTTTCAGAAACAACTGCACAAAGTTGTGTATATCCAACACATGTGAAGAACAGCTAAGGAAAATCTGACTAAGTCCATGCTTGGCCTAGGATAATTATCAGGAAACTAGAAAGTCTTTAACACTATTCTTCTTTTGTTTTCTAAATCTGTAGTAAAAGTCTGGTGGCTGTGTTTGTTGGAAAAATCAAGCAATGGGAAAATGGAGGGGAGGGAATAACTTATTTTTCCTAAGTCCATAGAAGTGTTTGACAAAGCGTTTGAGAGTAAAAACTAAGTAAAAAGGGTAAGTTGACATATTAGCCTTAGAATCCCTAGGCTGTAGGGGGTCCGGAAAGTCGAGTCTTTTTTTTTTTTTTTTTTTTTTTTTTTTTGTCTGTGTCTCCTCAAAAGCTTGCACATAACATGAGGGTCTAAATGATACATGTTGACCACATGTTTGCATGCGTGGATTAATCAGTTTACCATTAGGGATAAGACTGTGTCACTTAGGGGACCCACCAGATACAAATAAAACAAAACTGGTTTTCTGTAACCATTCTCACCTCTCTCTTGCTTTCTGCTGGAGAAAACACAGATAAAAGGAGGAGGTGACAGTTATCATTACTTCCCGTTCACCTGTAAACTCGCAGAGTAGTCTCCCCGGGACTACGAGAAACAAGAGAGGAGGACAATCTTTGACAGTCCCGAGGCACCAGTAAAGGGTGCGGCTACTTCCTGCCGCGCACCGGAACCTCTTAGCAGAATATGTGGGTTCCAGGTGGAACGATTTAGGAACAGGACCACTTCCTGCTGCTGAACTCGGGTGGGGGTAGGAAGGAAACAGTTCCTGGAGCAGCATCCTGTCAGCGCTAGCAGCTGAGGTGCGGATAGAGAGGCTGCGGAGGGCGGAGGAGGCACAGTAGGCGGCAGCGGAACAGAAGAAAGTGTTAGAGCCGGTAAGTTAGCCGCCTTAGCCCTGGGGACTGAGGACAGCACCTAGGGCTCTCTTTGCATATCTGTGGTCCCAAATTGCCGTGCTGCCCGATGGGCTAGGGCCCGGCTTCGCACACCGCCAGTCAGTGGACGCTGTGTAGGGGATATTGGGGTGCTGGGCCTAGCGGGACAGCAGACTGTGCTCTTTCTGGCGGACAGCCCTACCCCGGCGCCAGTGGAGGCGCTGGACTGTCCTGCCTGGGAGTGCTGGATTCCGCAGCCTGGTCAGTTTCTTAAGATAGGCGTTGGAATTCGGGCAAGAAAATGGATACTGTGTGTCCCCTGTAATCCTGGGGACTTGGCGAGATTGCCAAGTGGGTGGTGGACATTGTTTAGGACAATGAGGGAAGGATTTGTCAAGAGAATCTTAAGTCAAAGCCTTAGTTTCCCGGCTCTGTTCAAGCTGCCCGGGCTGTTGGAAGCTGCGTTGTTTTAAAAAGAAAATTCCACTTCCTGATGGCTGTCATTTAGGGGCAAATTAACGACTTTCAGATTCGTTGTTAAGCCAGCATGGTCCCTATTTGATCAATCATGTTGGTGTTGCTGTGATTATCAGGTAACTGTTCTGTAAGTGTACTTGTTGGTGAGGTCAGTGTTCAACGTCACCAGTACTTTGGAAGAGATGCAAGACTAACAGCAATTGAGACTATTTAGCTCTTCACTGTTCACATGTAATCCTTGTAGCATTCACGATAATAATAGTAAGGACATCATCTGAAAGGTACTAGATACAGGTTATTTTTGTGTATCTGCAAAGGCTATGGTATGAGTATATAAAATTACCTGATCACTGAATTTATGATTATATAGAGATTGGCATTGGAAAGAACAGAAATAGTTTTTATTAAGTTACTGCTTTTCTGTTGTCTTAGGTTCGGCTTTAGAGTGTGGTGAAGGGTACTTTTCATGGTGCATGGAAGGAAAGCCAATGCGCAGGTAGGCATGCATTTAGGAAGAAAACCTTCGGTTTCACTGATTGAAATCCAGTGCATAATGATTCGGGCTTTGCATCATCTAAAAGAATTCTTTAAAGTTTCAAATCTTAGCAAATCCTGCTGGGAACTAATGGTTTTTATTCTAAAATAAATCAAAAGTAGTATCAGGAATTAACAGCTTTTTAAGGGTGAAATATAAAACACAAATCTAAGAGTGCTATGAATTTTATGTAGTTAACATTTAAGTTTCCTTTGGTTGTGATACATTATGATACATTATGGATTTATTATGGTCTTCAATTCTCTATAGATAATGTAGGTTCTGTGGCCATATAAGTATGAATTATTTATAATATACTCTACTTCATATCTAATTATGGTTTTGGTTATTTCATTGATGTTCAGTAATATATTTGTTCTGTTAATTAAAATAGCTGCATTGCATGGAAGATTGAGGACTAGAAAAGATGTTGCTCATAACAAAACAGAAAAATAAAACAGTGTGTGAAAAAGTGGAAAATTATAGTCCCTCCAGCCCTTAGAACTTAGTAATGTTTTTCTCAATCTGTTCTAACAAATAAGACTAAGATCCCAATTGAAGCAAAATCAACTCAGTTCTATAATTTCTTCATTTTTAAAACTCGTATTTGTTGAACTGTATTTAACCTTTTTTCTTTTTTTTAACATCAAAGATAAACAATTTGGTCAAACCCTTTTAAGAGAAGAAACATTTCATTATGGGGCTGTAACTTACATTTTTTTTTTTTTAAGATTTATTTACTTAACACTTACAAGAACTTGGGATGCAGGCCAGAGGTGCGGGAGGTGAGAGGATTCATAAAGGACAAAGTAGGGAGCAGAACAGGCAGATTGAGCAGCTGGTGAGACAGGAGAAGCCTGCTGCACCATGTGGGTCAGCTCCATGGCTGGGAATCGAACTCATGCTGTAGTGGTTGGCAGACACTTGATACTTGATAGTCTGTGGTTTTTACCCCTGTGCCACCAGGAAGGTCCTGACCTATAAGCAAGAACCAGAATATATAGAATATATATATATATATCTTTCCAAATCTTTTTTTTTCTTTTTTTTGGCCTTGAATTGTTCACCTTCTCTGTGCCCCAGCTTATTTCTCGAGTGTGTCTGATCAGGATATTGGAAATTAACATTTAATTAATGAACATTTGCAAATGCCTTGAGATTTCTACATGAAAAGATGTTGTGGGTATTAAAAAATACAGTTATCTTATGTGTATCCTATTTTAAAGTAAGATATTTTGAGTAATATTTGACTACAAAGGGCATGAAGAAATGAACAGTATATATAAATACTAATGTTTCATCACTTCAGTTTTTAATGTGATTGCAAAATTCACTGATTGCTTTTCATCCTCAGCTGCCCATAAATGTCATATCTTATGTAATTGCTAAATAAGAGCTTGTTATTTTTTTAAACTGGAAGACAGAGCATGGGAATTTTCTGGTTTATCCATAATATCTATATAAAATATTGCATAATCATTCATACTGACTTTTCCCCCCTTTGCTTTATTATATAATACAGCCAGTATTCAGAATCATGTTGGAGAATTCTAGTGCTATTAATTGTTAAGTTACAGCTCTCTTTTCATAACCATCACTTGGCCAGAGCCTGGCCTCTCCATTGCTCTCTCATTTTACTTTTACCTGCCTCCTGCACTGAATCATGATCACACTTCCCTGCCTTTTCCCTCTTGAGCTGCTGCAACCCAGAAAGCAGGCTCTGGAAAGCAATGTTAGGTTTATTTATACTTACCTGCTATTGGAGAAGCTTTAAATGAGAAGTGATTCTTTACATTGAGATTATTTGAGTATATTTCATTTTCCCTACTAAAATATGAGCTCTTAGAGTTTCATATATGTTCTGTATATTTGCATCTTTGTACCTAATGATTACTGAATAGGTGTGTGGGGTTTTATTAATTTATTGATTTATGCATACAAAAATTAATTTATTGATTTATGCATACAAGAACTGGGGTACAGGCCAGAGGTGAGGAAGGGTGAAAGAATTCTGAGACAGAATGGGGAGCAGGATGATCTACTGAAATACGTTGCTAAGGGGAGCAGTGGGCAAGACAGGAAAGGTCTGCTGCCCCCATATGGATCAGCTCCCTGACTGGCAATAGAACTCATGCTGCAGTGCCTGGCAATAGCTTCATAATGCTGTGCTTTAACCCCTGTGCCACCAGGGAAGCCCTGAATAGGTGTTTGAATAGTAAATAGTTAAATAGTATCTGCAGACTGCCAATCAATGAACAAGAAAAGACTGAAAATCATTGTTAGAACTATTATTATGTTTAATTTGATAAAGTTTTATAAGTTCATTGTTATTGCATTTATTTATTGCATTTATTTAACTACTTCATATGTATGTGGGTAGCTATTAGTATGTGATAAACATTTAAAAGATACAAGAACACTCAATGAAAAGTAAGTGTTCCAATGCTGGTCTCAGATTCTCCTCTCCAGTGGATAGCATCTTAGTGCTGAGACTGAATCTCTTGTGCCACCAGGGATACCTGATACCCAGGATTTTAATAGAGAATAAACAGAGGAGAGAACCTCTGCTCTGTGGAGATGAGGAGAGCTTCATAAGATAGTGACATTTGAGCTGCATTTTCTAGAAAGGATAAGAATTTTTAAAAGGCATTAATAAAAAACAACATAAACAGAAGGGATAGCTGTGCTCCCCCCCCCCCCCCCCCCCCCGCCCCGGTGGCACAGCAGGTTAAACCACAGCACTGAGAAGCTAAAGCCGCTTTAGCATGAGTTCGGTCCCCCCTCCGGAGGTGACCCACATAGCCCAGCAGACTTCTTCCTGGCCTGCCCACTGCTCCCCTCAGCAGTGTACTTCATCAGTCATCCTGTTCTGCTCCTCTCACTGCCTCTGCACCTCTAGCTTGTACCCCAGTTCTATATGCACAAATAAATAAGTCTCTTTTTTAAAAAAGGCATCAGGACTTGGAAATGTATGCTATGTTAGGAATGGTACATGTGTCTGAAGTATAGGGTATATGTAGGGTATATATCAGGAGAAAGAAGAAATGGGAAATCATGGAAAATAAGGCTGCAACTGTGGGGAAAGCTCTGATCTTTATCATTTAAGTATTTAAGAGCTAGTGGACATAGTTACAAGGATTAGATTTGTTCTTTGGCCAAAGTTTAGGAGCATGGGGCATGGATTAGAAAAAGGGAAGAAATGATGGCAAAGGAAGTAATTTAAAGGAGTTGTGGTTTAGAACAAAAACTGATGAGCTGAGGCATAACTATGAATTTCAAGGAGAGGTTGAGATTGAGAGTTTAATAGTAAGTGCAAAGGTACTTGAATAATATGCAGTTAGGAAAAGGTATCAATTATGACAATTCCAAAGATTTCAGCTTGGGAAGTGAGGTAGGAACAAAAATATAAGAGAGAAACAGATTTCAGTAAACCAAGAATAGGTTCTGTTGCATACACTCAAAGATTATGTGTAGGAATCAGTCAGATAGACATAGCCAGTATGTGTTGGAATATGAATTTGTATGGGTATTTGAAAACTCGTATGGTATCATTATGAAAAGGTCTGGGAGTTGTAGGTATGTATGTGGGTAGAATAGAAAAGCACAAAATCCTGGGGAACACATTAAACCTCATGTTTGTGGCCCTAAGACAAAACTTGAGTAAATAATCTAAAATAGTTAAGAAACTTTTGGTTACTTGTAGCTTGTTTTAACTACATCTCTAGTTTTTATTGATAATTTTTCACTCATGATGAAAATTAAATGAACTTTTTCTGGAGTTCAACTTGAAAAGACCAAAACGAAGTCCCATTCGATTGTCTGTCTTTGTAATTTACTTTTTTCTAGCCAGTCTAAAAATGGATGGCTAAAAATAACAGTATAAGATGTATCTGCTAGATTTTAATGTTCCTTCATGTGGTATGCAGTGTAGGTTCACTTATCTAGCACTTTCTTCCATCCCCTAGAATGGAAGAAACACAAGAAAATTAAATATTCTGCCTGATAATCAGTTTTCTTTACATTTTGGGTTGATTGTGTAACACAGTGTTACACAAAGACATGCCAATAAAAGTTGCTAAGAGGTATAAAACTTCCTTACTTGGTCATTTGACCCTCTGCCTTTATCTTGTGCTTTGCTAGGCCAAGTTACCAGTGGTGACACTCATTTTATATAAGTAGAGGTGAGATGTATTGGGGCCTATTTTCAGCTTGACTTTCTGGTATGGAATAGACTGTTTAGTGGCTGTCCTGCTTGTAAGCAGACTAGCATTTTGAGATGTTACTTCTATTTTAAGGGTTTGTATACTCTAATCTGTGGCTATCTAGCTATTCAGGCATGTTTAAGACCATAAATGAGGATCAGCTCTACTAAATCTTATCTAAGGGCAGACTGTTGATTTTCAAGTTTAAGCAAAAATGTTGAAATATACAAAAGAGATGTTCACTTAGATAGGTAGCACAGTTTCAAGCTAAAGAAAGATTCTGCAATGAGACAAAAAACTGTGTCTTTATACAATGGAATAGCAATCAAAAAAGACAAACTCATGCCATTTGTGGCAGTGTGGATGGAGCTGTAAGGGATTATGCTAACAAATTATTCAGAAGTAAAAAGAAAAATATCAGATGGTCTCACTTATATGTGGAATATAGAAAACCAAGCAAAGGTCAAGACAAAGTAAGAACTAACCAGCTAAGCATAGAACCAAAGCAAACAGCGTAAGAAGGGATGAGGGGTGCAAAACAGGAGAAGGCTGAACATAGGAAGGATGGTTCACTTGTGATGTGGTGAGAGAACTACAATGTAAGGGAAAAATTTTAATTTTTTTTAAATTAAAAAAAAGATTCTGTAGGACTTTGGGATTAAGAGATAAGGCTTGATTATAAATGCCTTAGAAGCAGAGTGTCTGTTTTCTACACTTTTTATTGTGCTTTATTTTAAATTTTCTTACCCCTTCTCAGGG